TGGCTGCCATAAAAACCTTTGTTGCAGCGCTGGTAGACATCGAAATCATAACACAGACCTGATTCCCCAGAACGTGCCCAAAGTTTTAGACCCCATTTACTCTTTGGTTTATTAGGCATGTACTGACGAATGTAACACCGCCCACAGAAAGGGATCTTTGATGGCGGGACCACGTGTTGTACATGAAAAAACGGGTAATAGACATCTGTAATATACTCAAGTTCTTTGCAGAGAAGACTTGGAGAATGTCACCCAGTGCAATGGTACAGCTGTACAGGGTAATTTTTTCGGTTTCCCATGGGGTAACTTACTGGTATTGACCAATGCAACAAAACAAGCCTACGAATGTTACGAGTGTTCAGTCGCAAGCACTCCGGATTTGCCTCGGCTTGCCTCATAGTGCGTCGACAAAGGCATCTATAGCAATTGCCGTTGACAATCTCATCACGACACATATTGACGTTAAGACACTCAGGACACATTTAAGGCATATTGCTCGGACACCCTGCCATCACCTAGCCTCTTTACCAGCAGACATACCACGTTCGCCCTTTTGCCAAACGGTAACCACGTATCTAGAGCTTTGCCAACGTGCTTTACACCCGCCGCCAGGCCTTCGACTCCTCCTTGGTGCCTGACTCAGTCTAATATCAGGGTAACTATACCTGGTATCCAGAAAAAAATCACATATGTCGTCACCTGCTCTCAGGCAGCTTGTTTTGCTCTTGTTATACGAAACGTATCAAGGCTGTATACAAGTACACATTGACGGCTCTGTTTCACAGAAGAGTTCAATGGCATCATTTATTATATCAATAAGAGACACAACAAGCGACTTCAAGACCTCCCACCTTACGACATCAACGGGAGCGGAGCTCACAGCTCTTCGTGCCACATTGCAATTCATAAGAGACCAACAGTCACAAAAAATGACAATTTTCAGTGACTCAAAAGCGGATCTGCAATCCTTCTATCACCTTTACTGCCGCGACCCGTACGAACAACTGGTATTCGAGATTGCAGAAAGACTCACTATTTCATTGGGAAAGTACTTTTGTTAGCCTTTCAATGGCTTGCAACCTTATTGTGGAATTATTGGCAATGAACGGGCCGATCAAGCTGCCCGTTATGCCCATACTGAAAGTGATCAAATATCATTTCCACTCTTCAGAACTGACGCAGCACGGAAACTCTGTATGCTTGCTCACAAGCGCACCACGTCGCAATAGAACGAGTCACCATTCACCTACGCACGATTATGTACCTTAGACCCAACACTTACTCCCGTATGCACAAACGCTCCTCGACTCGACTTCCACCCTTCACTTCAGAGAGGTGAGCAATGCGCCACCACTCGGCTGAAAATGACGCTGCGCTACTCAAGAATCGCAGCAGATTATAGCTGATATGCAATGACTTGCCATGCCTAGAGAAGGCACTCCCATCGGCCTTTCTCAAGTGAAGGGGAAGCGCTGAGTGAAGGGACGTTCTAGAATAGGGGTTCAGTCTTCGAATTCTTCCAGAACTTCGCTGACGAGATGCTACTATTCTGTGCAGGTTATAACTGGTTGTCTCATTTACCAATACGTACGTGTTCCGCATAGGAATGGCTCACACTGCTGCATGTGACCATTGCGGCAGTGACGAAACAACTTGGCACATTCTGGGTGAATTCCCACTGTACTGCTCGCAGAGACAGTCACTCTGCCATGCACTAGAATAACTGGACAACCAGTCTCTTTCAGAAGAAAAAATCCTACGCTAGCGACAGGACTTTATGTCGCATGAGAAGGCTGTGAAGGCGCTCCTGCGCCTGTTGCGTTCAACCGGCCTCTCCAAACGATGTGTTCAGAATGCCCTGCGTGTGTGTGCATGTGAATTGTTTTCCTAATTTCTTCTATCTCTTTATATCTATATAATTTCTTCGACCCTTATTTCCCCACCCCTAACAAAGTCGCAAACCAGTTCTTCAAGGTTAACCACTCTTTCTCTTTCTTTCATTTATTTCTCCCTCTGTCTCTCCGCACACCCAGAAAAACGTGGTGGGTGATGCCTGTGCTGATGTTGTGCGGGCTGAGTGATGTGTTGTTGGTGATATCGAAGTTGTTCAGCGTACAGAATTCCTCAGATTACTTTCAGCAGTTATGTTAAAAAACATCTTGATATCAAGAATTTTCAACTGGAGCTTGACCAGCGAAGCTAAATGTTTAGCCCAATTAAATATGCAGTCACGACTACAGTCCACACTAAAACTTTCCTGCATTTCACCGGTGTGGTGCGAAAGACGTTGTTGTTTGACAAATTTTCATGATTTTGACGTTGCGAAAAGCGTACGCCTACATTCGTTTCAATATCCATGTTTCGATCGTCCTGTTGGAACCTGCAACATGCGGTGCAGCGAATTGCGCACTGTCGGAGTCTGATCATGACTGTGACACAAGCGCTACTTATTGGGAAGTTCATTGCTTGTATTCCGTTGAAGAAGCAGCTGCACGATGGTTACAGCGCAAGTAATGACAACAGTGTATTATGTTGGCAAACTGTCCGTATACGTTAAACATTCGGTCCTGTACAGCCGCGACGGCATACTACTTGCTCATGGCCCACTACTGCGGAAAATCAGCCAGGCAGGCTCGGCACTAAAATAGGGAGCATTAGAATAACTTTTGCAGAGGCTGTGGGTGTGGGCATAGGCGGTGCCATGTGAAAATAAAAATAGCGTTCACTCCCCCTACGGAAAAGTCAAGGGACTTTCGCCATGCGACCGCAAACCCAAATGTACATAAGCTACTCACAGCACTTGACGGGCCTCGCGGAGCGCGATCGCAGCACGCTATTTTAGATTTTTTGCGTGCGGGCCTCGAACGCGGATGGTGACTCGCGTTACGACTCGTGCGCAGTGGCAGTGACCACACCGCAAGGGCTTACGGTGTGTTATTCTAAAACTCCCTATTATCTCGTGGTACCGTTCACTTCATACGCAAATTATAGCTCAAGCAATTTCCTGTGGCACACACAGGATTACGCAACGCATTGTTGATGCAGGGTCCGTCAGCTGACACCACCACCCTTCGTACAGCGGCAAGAAATGAGGTAGCGAACATTCAGCAGTTCCTATTGTTTGAGAAAGTACTTTGGTCCAATGTACGTTCATTTGGTGATCAAGAGTCCATCCGGTGAGAGCGGCACGGGGAGTACGTCCATGTGTCTTATCGATTCTTATGCTAGTTCACGGGTTGATCAGCCTCTCGCAGTCGTCTTGGATTGCACCGCGTGCCACCTAAAGGCCATTGGCGTTGCGAATTGCATAACGAGTAGGTCTTCAAATATTCCAATCTAGTAATTTAGCTTTCGGCATAATTCATCATCGTCGTCAGCCACAACATAAAAAAATGCACGAAATGTTTTACAAGTGTGTAGCTGGTACGTACCACGCTTCTTTGAAGAGTGACAAAGGATGGCATAGTGAATGCCTATTTACTACACAACAATCATGATGATTTTGACGTAGTGGGCACTCTGCAGGCCTTCTTGCAGCAGTTACTGAAAAAGTATTTGAAAAGAACTATGAAAGGCCGCTCGCTGTTCCAGCTTTTGCTGTGACTGTGCTCCACCAAGACGCCTCCTTCGAGTGCTATAGGATGCCTCATTAAAAAAAGCTTCGGATTTTTGACAATCCCGAGTGCACAGAAACACTTCATACGAGAACTTCATGGAGAGATCTACGTACACCTTTCTCTTTGTCAATTATTTTGCGTAGTCCTTTGCTTGATTCATTTTATTTGTATCAAAGATATCCAATAAGCAATGCGCTTGTTACTAATAACGTTCCAATTTTACCCCTAAACCATGGTGGTGTGGAGTTGTCCCGTTGAATATGTACCCTTCTGTTACAGCTTTAATGCATAATTTCCCGTGAGTGAATTCAGTAGTTACTGATCGTCACTTCAAGAATGAACCGGCTTTAATGTGCATAGTCATTTACGTGCTGCACTTTCCATCTTACCTCCGCGCTGTTTCTGCGTGAGGTACGTGCTTCTTGGGATGTCGTCGGGAAAATTGGCGATTCTACGTAGGTTGCTGACCTAAGTCATTTTTGCAGGTTTCCCACAAATATCTCCTACAAATCAATGTCGAAGCTTATGGACAACTACTCACTTTCATTGGCGCTGCGTACGTGTAAAATATATAACCTTACATCAGAAATAGCACATATTTGCCCAACTTACACTACGATGTCCTCGAGAATATGGAGTAGTAGTATGAGCATAAATATACACGGAGTTTTTGAACAGTGCTCAAAAGATGGAAATTGAAAGTATTTTGGCAGTTTGGCACTTCTAAGATGCGGATGTGTAACTCGATAGATAAGAAGAAGGGTGCCTCTTGTCATGTGCATCATGTGCTATAAATCTTGTCTTATGCGTGACTCTGGTGTCTGTTATGTTTAACAGCATTTTCCCTGTTATGCCTAAAAACAGTTTATTGTGTTGTACTTGCAAGCGTAGCTGATTTATTAATTTATTATGTTATGTTTTCAGTTATAGTGTTTTGTTAACTGTCACCACACTGTCCAATGGAGCGAAGGCATTTGTAATGCATCCTAGCCTTTAGCCTCGGCTTCCTGCTTTGTATAGAAGGAAATAATAGTTCACTTCATGTTCAAGACAGTGTGTGCATGCTCATTTTCATGAAAAATATTTAATCCCTCTTTCGGAAGGCTGCTGTAATCCATGGTGGTCGCCTGCTTTTTTTCGTACCATCTGTTTAGAAATCAATAAAATGTCAATGATGGAGTCAACTCATTCGTGTTTGCACAGCCATTGTGACAGTTGACGTCGTGAAACAGGGGGGGATTCACGTGCAGCACAGGCTTCACAAGTGCGTGGGAACAAACAGGGCAAGGGTCGTAACGGGCTACCAGTGGACGCTTTTTCCGGGAGAGGAATGACAAGCGCTGGCTTAAGCGATTCGATTTGAGCGCGTCTCCCTATTTACAGGGTACCACGGCTACAAAGGAGAAGTACCGGTCAGCTTTCCAAGTTCACGCACGAAGGTTAGTGACCTGTTTTTATCAGCTGGCCGAGAACTAGGTTACAACAACGGCGACTACAATGGTCCAAACCAAACAAGTAAGATCATCATAAATGCATATATCTGTCCCACTGAGAAGACGTGTACACACGGCGTAAGACAGAAGTATGCCATAAGTTACTTCGACGCAATATTTGATGAAGGGTGACAACATTAGCGCTCGAGTACCTTCACGCTAAGCGCTAATGACTTATGTGCGAGGACGGAACATACTAGTATGTTTTCTCTAAACGCAAGTGAGAGAATTTCTCACTTTCAATTCTCAAGTTCGTAAATTTATAGTGGTCCACACGGCAGTCTGACGACAATGGAACTTTATTACGAGGATCTAATGGGCTAGGTTTCTCAACTTCAGAGTATCACGTAATAATATTAGTAATTAGGTAATTACAACAATAATATTACTATTTCTTTGCGTTTTGCACGTAAAAGTTTCAGTAGGACTGTCGGGATGGAGGGCACAAAAATGTCTACCAATCGGGGTTCTGAAAGGCTCACTTGAGCCTAAGTGCATGGGGGCCAAACGTTTTTGACTTCATTGAAAAAACGGTCGCAGCAGCCGTAATTCGGCATCCTGCGGGTGAGCAGTCGAACACATTAAGCACTATACTACCGCAGTGGGTATCAGTGGACCCAGTGACCAGAAGTTTATGGTAAAACACTGAGTGGACGTATATGGTGATTATAACGCAAATATTTCAGAAGTAGTTTACGAATTCGTTTGTCCTTCCCGTTGAGAATACAGCATAAAGAGCGTGATATATATAGCTCTATAAATAGACATTGGTCTACAAAGAAATAAACTTATTGTGCAAGGCAAAGTTGATGGCAAGTATAACTTACCTCACTAAACTTTGCTACTATACATGCCGTGAAAGAAGCATACAAAGATACCTAATGCGTTATGCCGATCACATTGTTTAGCAAAAAAGAGGCTGTCTGTCATCAAAATTGTGGTTTGTGGGTGCGGTAGTGTATTGTTTGATGTTTTAGTTATGGTAATTATATGTGTACTCGCTATATGCCAGCATAGATACCTTGCTCGGTTAAGTAGAAATATTTTAGTACGCCGGTAATTTCGCCTGTCGCGTCCCGTATTTCAAGCAATGTGTTGACTGTTCTATTTGATGTCTCCGGTGTCTCCTTGAGCAAATTGTTTACTGTGCTTTTGACAAAGCTGCTTTGACATGTGTCAATTGTATCTGCGCTAATGCGCCATTTTAAAGCCAATAAAAGTTTAGGAAAAATGGATACACATGGTTCTCAGGAGTAAAGAAGTCCAACGAACCAAATAAAACAACAGAGATAAGGTACATATATATTTAGAAAAACGAAGTTGTGTACGGATGCACAATTATATATTTTGAACTCACTCACTATGGCCATCTTGCATTGAGACTATAATGAGGCCAGCTGCCGTGGTAACCAAATATTTCATCATTTAATCACCGAAGGCCACATAAGTGGCAAGATTTGTTCTTAGACTGTCGCTGTAGAGCGTTGTTTGTAAACCTGCCGTTCATGACATTTCTTCATATCACATCGCTTTTTCATATTTTCGCTTCAGAATTGATTCGAGGCACTATACGAGGTAACTAGCGTTAGCATTGGCATAAATAACGGTGATTTTACTAGTATCATTAAAAAGTGTGCAATGCAAGTTGGAGGTATTGTCACTAGACAGGACTATGGCAAACTATTTCAGGTGATGAAAAATCGCACTAAGAGACGACAAAACATAAAATCCTCAAACGAAACCGACAAAATAGAGGTAGTAGAGCTTTTGAAGGTAATCGATAGACGTAACTTAGCCGCCATCAGAAGGTATAACATGGAGGAAGTTCAGCAGGCTGTAAAAAGTGGCAGTAGCCTAAAAGCTGGAAAGGCGCTTTTCTGCACAGGAAACAGTCGGATGTATGCATTAAGGAAGGCAATGTCAATAACGCATATCGTTTAAAATTTCATTACACTAACATTAGGCTAAAATGGTTATGGCTATCGTCGTCGGTGGCCGTGAACAGCATTTGTGCAGCTGCATAAAAGAGTTATGGTTTCTTCGTCGCAAACTAAACTTGGTACACCATCCGTTAGGCAGCTTGCATATTTGACCTACGTAAGGCCAACGTTAGAATATGTCAAAGCAGTGTGGGGTCCGTTCCATTCGGTGTTAATAGATCAAAGAGAAAAAATGCAGAGAGAAGCCGCAAGGCTAATTTCATTGCGTTATTATCAAAATGTCTCATTGTCTGCAAAGCTTTAGTTGCTTGAATTGCAAACGATGGCTACACGCCGGAATGTTGATCAACTTAAATTTATTTTTTTGTTACAAAGGACATCTCAATATTGAAACTAAACTTTTTCTTGTTTCCAGACACTTCAGCAATGTCAGATCATGCAATCGGTTTGTGCTTCTGGTTTCAAAATGCAATTTTAATGTGTACGCGTATTCTTTTTTGCACGTAAAATGAAAGAGTGGAATCAGTTTCCAGTACGGTACTGAATTCGAAGAGCACAAAAAGCTTTTAAGAGTGCGACAAAAGATGTCATTAACACTTAGTATTGCTGTAGTATTTCCAGTACGGTACTGAATTCGAAGAGCACAAAAAGCTTTTAAGAGTGCGACAAAAAATGTCATTAACACTTAGTATTGCTGTAGCATTGTACGCACATTGTCATGTTCGAAAATACATCGTTTAGTTACTTTATATTGCATACTCTACCACCATCGCAATATATATGTGTACGTTTTTGAAAACAGCGTTTTTAAATTATCTTTGTTTTGTTCTAAATAAATACGTATTTTCTAGTTCTGTCTTCATTATAAAACGTTTTACTTGCTTTTGGTTTGTGTTAACATTTACTGTACCCACCCTGTTATGGCTATGACAGCCTACAGTACTTGAAAATAAATTATAAAACAAATATATTGTTTAAAAAGGCGTTACTTGGCAGTATATCTTTCATACAAAAGCTTAGATGTGGTCCAAAAATTTTTCAACGTGTATTTATTAGCAATTCATTTTGGGATTTCTTCAGACTACCACTCTAGAAGTATTGCCTTGTATGCTAAATCATATATCCCTCAAAAGGGCAAAGTTCTGTTCAACTGCTCTTTTGAACGCAACCTCTAAGCCTGTTGTCTTTTGATTACCAGCGCTTTTCGAGTGAATGGCGTGCAGCCGGAAGCGGTGGTTCATAGTGCGGGTTGCCGCATTCATCTTGGAATAAATCCAGGCGGCGTGGACTGCACCAGCTTCCTGTCACGTTGTGGCCGCATCGCATGGATACGCTAGGCAGTGTCGAAGATACATCTGGCACCGTGAAAGTAAACGGCGGTCCGCGCGGACGCGTGCATAACATGTCCTTCACTACATGCGCAAAGATGTGAAAAGAATAATCTCAAACCAGACTGATTGGTCGGCAAACCATTCATGCTTACTTTTACTAGCGATAGCGGGAGAGCCACTGTTTCTTCGGTTAGTTCATATTCAAGCTTGTTCTATTCAAGTTCAAGCTTGTTCATATTTCACTGTGGTCTACAACTTGGCCTAAATATTTGCCATTTGCAAGATACACTTTAGGCATAGTGTACTTTTTCCACCTCCTTCATCTAACTGTCTGTAGTTTCTTCCGCACATTCAATACCATAACAACGCTGATTGATTCCGTCACTGCATATTTGGGCTCATTCTAGGCTTTTCACGCGTGCAAAACAACGTGAAGAATGGAGAACGCTGGAGCTCAAGTAAGGCTTTATCTCCGCTGTGGTTCGCAGAAGGAAGAACCTCGATGTCGCACTTCATGCACATGTGACAAAGGTAGGTAACTACGTAATATATGTACCAGCAAATTCAACATATGTTGAAGATCTACCTATAACATCACATCAAGCCCAGAACCTTTCAGAATATTCGAAGTAAATGCATTGAAAAACGCAGAGTTATTTATTCATTTATTTGTTCACAATGACCTAATTGGTACTTGTTCATTCTAAAAACAGCGGGGCATGCAAACACAGACACAAGAAGGAAGTCAGGACATCGCGAAAGGCGTTTGTGGTGCCTTGGCTTCCGTCTTGTATCCGTGTCTACAAGCCCTGGCTTTTAAAATAAGTTGTTTTCCCGTTGCCCTGAAAGAACAAAGTCCAAAGCATTCTAAGAGAGCAGTTCTTGCAGGTTGTTTTTCAAGGCACAACTGCTGTGGGCGTTGAGTACAAACGGCACCACAGAAGGTTCATGGTTCGAGCCAGGAGGGAAGTGATTCTTTGCGCTGGAGCCATTGGTTCTGCGCAGCTGCTCATGCTGTCTGGCGTAGGACCGCGGGAACACCTCGAATCATTGGGGGTATGTGGATCGTTCGAATACGTTCTCTTATACGCCTATACTGCTGCCCTGTGTGCATTGGTCTGAGAGCAAGGTCCAAGCCGTACAAAAAACTCCTCAAGGTATATCTAGGTTGTTCAAATTTTAAATGGAAATCCTAAAAAAAATCAAGCATTATTTCGCCTTAACGTGTTAGCTAAAATGTCTGGTGACAAGCACAGTTTCAGTTCACGTAACAATGTCTGACGAACTGGTCTTTCAACATTCGCTCCTGGAGTTTGCGCTTTAGAAAATGTGAAGCATTGTTCTGCAGTTCATAAAGAATTAGCGTTGAATGCAGCAGCATAATTTGTCTTTTCTTGTTGCTTGTTTATGTGTACATTATTACGTTACAAATGCTCTCTATAAACAGTAGATATTATGCGCTCGTCGCGTCTTATGTGTTCTAGCTTCATCTTGTTCTTTACGTTTTTGCTTCTTTCATCATATGAAAAGTAGTAAACGGCCATTTGCTGTTTGATGTGACGACTAGGTCTATTATGTGAATGAGAAATGTAAGGGAACTTTCTTTCAAAGTCGAAGTTAGAAAATTCATACCCTCTCTTCAAAAACACGTCGTGATTACAATACTCAGAAATTTTCCGATGCCCATTTGAATTTAACCTCTGCCACTTTACTAAAATTGATTCTTTGGCCCACTTTAAGTCTGGCAAACTGTTAAATCATACACACGAGAAATCGTTATATATATTGCAGATAAACCTCATTGCCGATCTCCCGGTCGGTGAAAATCTCTATGATCACGTGACCGTGAATGGAATCGCCGCAACATCAGCAGAGAACATCCAGATAAACTACTATTCGCCGTCTGCTCCTTTTGAGTATGCTCTGTTTGGATCAGGTAAGTACAAATCAACAGGAGCATTCGACATCACATTTGTTTGAGCGATTTTAAGAGCGAACTGTTATCGCTCGGCACACAGTGTGTGGCCGTGCCTGGGTCTGTGTCACAAGGTTTGGACAAATTCCACCACTCACACCTACAGCATCGTCTGTAAAGACCCTCACAATGAGAGAATGACTAAAAAGCGAAAGAGGGAAAGAAAAAAAGTAGAGATAGAGAGATTTGAAGAAACTTACAAAGCAATACAAAAAAAACTGTTGCCGGAAAGATTTCTCTAAATACCGATTCCGACTCTCATAACATCGATCCGAAGGCAAGCTGTCTTATCAACTTGGCTATCCGGCACACTAGGAGCGCATCGCATGAACTTGTTGATAACAATGAGGGGAGGCGTTTGGAAGGATGGTTAGTGTGAGGAGGAGAGATGTGATGTGTAGGGGAAGAAAGAGAGGGAGAAAGTAAAGCGTAGCACAAAAAATTGAGAAGTAGAACAATGAAGAAAAGTGATGCCAGAAAGAAAAAAGATACAAAATATCAACAAAAAAGTAGACAGAGCGTCACTTTAGGCCCGTGTACATGGACGCGACGGGGGCGGGCTGAGTTGAGTGGCGGGTTCAGCTTACCTTGACGCGCCCGAGTTTATATGAACTCGCACGGGCGAGTTGAGGTGAGTGGTGACCGCAGCGACGCTTTGCGTCGAGGCGAGCCGAAAGCCCGTCTTCCGGTACCGGTTTCCGCTCCTCCAAGCCTGCGCTCTCGCCTCTCGCCGCTGTGGGCTGCTGTTGTTTACGCAGTTCTCGCTCCGCCACCGCGATGGCTGTCTTGGTATTTTTTCTCAGTTTGCACCAGCTGTACTTTATGGTTGTGTTCGTGTCTTGGCTAACACTGCACAACGCGATGGCAGCAGTGGTTCTGTTGCGGCACAGCGCTCGCCGCAGGCGCATCCGCAGCCTGACGCACCGTCCCCTATTCACCCCTGGCTAGTCTCTCTAGGAATTCGCCGTGATTTATGGCTTGTAACGCCTTTCATTTGTGTACCTGATACTGTTGAAAATCCTTTGAAGCCCTACACGCGAGTCATTTTTTGCAATAGTTGTTGCTTGTCGCTAATACGAATTAAGCGGCGCCCTGAACCTCGTTGAAATGTTTAAATTGAAAACAATAAGCAGTTTTTAAATGAAAATGACTAAAGACCCTCACCAATTGTTGGAAGAAAGTGTACAGTTTCACCATAATTAAGTGCACCGTGTTCCTCTTGCCTCATACGCTCACCCTGTTTGGCTAATCTGATTTCTGTGGCTTTTGGACTGGACAGTGAGATCCTTACACGATGAATTTTTGATCTGAGGGCTTGTAATTTCAATTGGAATGCAATATAGATTTTTGAGTAAAATTTCTATCGGCCTACGTAAGTGTTTTTTTCAAATTCTTTCAACAGGTCCTTATTTGCTCCCATGTCCACGTCAGGCCCTGTTCTTTCAAACACCTTTCCAGGTCCATGAATATGTCCTTATTTTTTTTGCCGCTTGCTATCGAGCAAATCACTCAGTTTTTTCTCGTTGACTAAAGCTAGCAACGTCGTTATTTCATCATCTGTCCACATGGTGCGTGGAGCCCGCGAGGATGTCATCGTGCCTAGCGCGCGCGTACCGGCGGACAGAGGAAGAGCAACGTCGGAGTGATGGGGACGGGAAGCGGAGACCGCGACGGGCGGGAGAGGTCACGAGCCGTCAACTCAGCGCGACCGGTTATACATGCCCTTTCTGAGGTCGGCGAGTTCGGTGAACCTACCCCCTGTCTCCGGGTCGACAGGACTCGCCGCGACGACTCTCCGCCCCGACGCGTCCGCCTATACATGGGGAGGGCGAGTCCAGAAAACCTGTTTATTTCGACTCAACACGCCCTCGTCGGGTCAATGTAAACGGGCCTTTTAGGGATCAACCGGCTTACGCGCTGCGCTGTCTATTATACCTCTACGCTGTTTCTGCGTGAGGTATGGGCTTCTTGGAAGTCGTCGGGAAAATTGTCGATACTACGAAGGGTGATGACATAAGTCGTTTTAAGTAAGCTGTGACATGCTGCAAAATGTAAACTTAGTAGCATACCACTCTAGAGAAGATAAATGTTACAGCATATTGAATGGCATGGTTCACACAGCAAAAAAAAAAACTCGTGAGATCACTTCAACGAGCTAATCACATACATTTATTAATACAAAAGTCACAGTGATTCCAATGAAAGTATAGTGACGGTACTAGTAGTAAATGCAATGTGAACGGGAAGAAAGAAAAGTTGACAAAAGGATAATTTGCTACGAACTAGCACTAAAACCACGTCTTTCAAAAGACGTATCTGATGCTTTACCACTCGGCTACTACCATGGCGCTCATCCCTCCGCCACACTACAGGTTGCATATGTGCATTTTACCATGGCAGCATTTTCCCGCACGTCTGTTGCTGTTACTTCGAATGTGCAACACTGTTTTGAATGTGGATGCATTTCTTAGCTGGGCTATGTCAGGCATCCGGCATTGTCCGTGCACCCACTTCGCCCCTCTCACTCTCTGCTCTTCCTTCCTCTTCGATAATAGCAACAGTCGGTCACGCGTGCTTATCCTCGCCCCTAGCGACTGGATAATGTGTTGCGAGAGAGTGTAGTCGCTCTCTCTCCTCCCTGCACCCCACTTTCTCGTCCGCTCTTGCCTTATCCTCAACCGTTCACTAGCTGGACGCCTCTAAAGAACAAATGGAAATGTGGACTCGAGACGCCGCTGTGAAACGTGAACGCCGATCCGAGGACGCTGTTTGTTTTGTTCACTTCATAGTATTTTTTGACTGTGCGTAATAGCAATTAAGGCTGGAAAGGCATACCACGTTTCTCACGACAGAAAAACGCTACGTGCACTGAACGGCACTATTGGCTGCACGGGGTAAGCAAAAAAAAATATTACGCGCCTGAAATAGGCTATGAAATGCATTACCATCTTCTTACCTAGTATATAAAGAAACTAAGTGTGAACTTAACGGCTCGTTTTTTTTGGACACTACAAGATAAAAAATAACTGACGATGAAGCCAAGATAAGCTTAGAAAATGTTATTTAAAGTTTTTGTAATGCAATCCTGAACATCGCAAAGTGTACAAAACGATAACATGCCACAGGCGAGATGCCAACCGGCGACTTACGAATATCGCGTCTGAGCTGCGGGGGCTGTCATTCCTTCGTCCACTTTATAGGATGTATATCTGAATTGAAACGAGGGCACTACCTGCTCTATTGGTGTGAAGATGATGTGAGCGCCGCCTCTTGCCGTTGCTGCGAGGGTGCGTATAGCTGTTGGCATTGCGTAGCAGGCGATCTTATTACAAGCTAGCAGCTGATCAATATTCCCTTACATACTACCTGAAGGCAACACGTCGGCCAGAATGAAACCATCAGCTATGAAAGAAGGAACGAAGTATGAATAAAACGACTAGTTTTGTTGGTATACTTTCCTTGTCATCGTTGTCTGTTAGATCCCTTACATTGAGTCTAACAAAGACAGCCATCTCTAAATTATTCTTCTTTTCTTCACATACATTGTAGCGTAGTATATGCCTAACAGCAAGCTATTGTACTTGAATCTCTCGAAAACAATTCGCAAGAATTCATATTTTTGTGCATTCCCATTGATGTGAGGAGCACATTATTTATCACAATTTCATAATTTAACCTGTAAGCCTACTCACACGTAATTACCTATTTTTATACTCCAACATTCTCACTGCTCGTATATCGGACTGATTCCTCAACTTTGGATAGTCGTTTCAGAGCAGAACGCATAGAATAACATTGGGAATCCGTGTGGCTGCATTCGTAATGTCCACTATTTTCAGACTCTGTGCGAAGACTCGCCCCTCTGTGGAAGCGTTTCTTTTCTTTTGTGCACTTAGGAAACTAGGCTAAATTCTTCGAAACGTTTCGCGTTCTACGCTTTCCTGCCATAGATTGATAAGAAAAATGTAAAAAAGGTGACAGCAGGTTGGATTCTCTTAAACACATAAATATGAAGTAAAACGTCGCAATCTCAGTTATGCATCATATATACAATCAGTGGCGAGACTTCTCAATTGATATAGGGGAACTAAACTTGCTGTTGAGTTTGCACTTATTTAAAAATATTTCCACCGTTCAGCAATGCAAGCAAAGATCGGATAACTTATGAGTCACTTCACTTGAGCTAAGATTCTGATTGAACCGTGAGACCGGGTGAATAATGATTTGATGAATTTGAGTGAGTAACCTTGTAAAAAATTTAGCAGATTTTGAGTCCCAGTGAGTGCGCCTCCGAAAACTTTGACTAATCAAAATCCGAGTGAAATCTAAGCGGGAAATATATTTCATGACGGTGTCTAAGTGAGGTACATACTTTTTTACCGACCTATGCCCAAAAGCAAAAAAAAATCTTACATGAGCTGCTAGCTCTCGGCTGACGACACCTGACGTATTGTACTTGACACTTTAGCATCTTTCCGTCGTTCTTTAGAGATCAATTGGCGCAAGTACTGCAAGTACTCCCACTTCACGTAAACTTGCCCCTTACGACAATTATGTTCTTTTTCTGCAGTTTTATAAGTCATTTATATTTAGCTATTACGTCAATATAACAGTGTTTTTACAAATTCATATTTACGTGGTTCAGCAAACGGAGTTTACGAATCGATGAAGAAGCTTCATTTAGATAATGTATCTGAGCCTAAATCAAGGAAAAGTAGCTGTATTGTTCACATGTGCAAAAACACCTAATCATTGAACTTTTTTTTCAGGCCCACTAAGCCATGCTTATGGCGTCGAATGTGTCGCTTTCTTAAGTACGCCGGGCACTGATTCCACAATTCCAAATATCCAGTTTCTGCTTGTCAGTCTCAATCCTACGACTATTGAAGCCGGGTATCTGGCCAGTCAAATAGGAGTTTTACAGGTAAGCTTTTTTGTTTCCATGATATACTTTTAAGCAATTTTTTTCTCAAAAGGGCTCCAATATGTGTGTAAAATACGAAGGGCTTATCAGAATTTGCAAAATTTGATTATCAGGGTTGTCAAACAACAATAACCAATAATAATTAGTACAAAGTGGTCGAACTCTACGCTTGCACCAATGTGTAAAAACGCCACAAAGATTTGTGCTCAGTGCGCCCTGCTTTGTGCGCCCTACGAGATAATTAAGAGTTTGGGTTAACAAAGCGTTGGATAGTACATTGCAGCATATGTAGACCAAATGATAGGTATTGTCACGTGCTACAAAATGTCTTCAACTCGGAAGAACTGAGCCGGTGGGGAGACGCACCGAAAACTGGCAAGATGGCTGCTTTAATAATAAACAACTAACTAGACCATGAGCTGCCCTAGAACATCGTCTTCTGTTCTATCGGGTATCCATGGCTTGCGCTCGCCGTACCTAGCGGCCAAGTGGCATTAGTCTTCCTCTGAAAAAATGGACATCACTGTAATGCTCGAAAAGTACAAAGGCAAAGTCGGGGCGAACCAACAGAAAATACACGCATACAATATTGTAACGAACAAATACAGCGCCGGAAGCTAAAAAAGCTATTTATTAATGGCGAACTTCTGCCAGTAAACTAAATACACAAAGGTTGTCAGCTCGCTAGTAAAAACCTCGTCAACTTTTTCTCTTGCAGTCTCGCCTCTAGCTGCTCCTCGAAAAACCACCAGCGTTCTTTTTCCAGCACGTGGTGTGGTGACACGTGCAGCCAGCGTTGCATGGCGCGTTTGGCTTGTCAGTTGGTGTGGCAGAATTCATAAGAGCAGAAAGTGGCGCAAGACTTCGGTAGGTGCCTAACAACATGCGGCATGAATCCCCATCTCGAAACGCATCTTCCCGATGCGTACGCTGACGTCGAACAGTTTTGTAAAGGAGTATTTATCTGATGTTTGAGCACATTTATCAGTTGTCTCGTTCAGTGCCTTTAGTAGTACGGTTTCATTCGTACTACATGTACGACTTCTGGACGATTCCTGCGTCGGGTTGAGCAGATTTGCCCTTCAGGAATTACTTCGTAATTTAGCCTGCTTAACCGGCGAAGTTCTCTGTAAGCGCCGAAATAGCGCCGCATTAGTTTTTCCGATAGGGCAGGTGCGCGTGTAGGCGTCCACACCCACACTTTTGTCTCCGGGGCTGTAGTGTACGTCTCTCCGCTTCAGATTATAGCGACTTGCGTCGGAGCCTTGTTGCAAAATGATACGATGTCTTGCCAATTGCCGTGCCTCTTCTGCCCTTTCTATGTAGTCGCTGATGTGTGGGTCACTCTGATTGAAATCGTTGACAGGTAACATCGCGTCTAAGGTCATTGTGACCGCCCAACCATAAACAAGTTGAAATGGCGTGAAGTTTGTCGTTTCTTGTACTGCGTATTTCACGCAAATGTAGCATAAGGCAAAATACTGTCCCATGTCTGGTGCTCAACGTCCACATACATCGAGATCATGTCGGCGAGATTTCGATTGAGCCTTTCGGTTAATCCGTTTGTTTGCGAATGGTATGCTGTAGTCCTTCTATGGTCGGTGTGGGTGAGCTTCATAACAGACTGCATCAAACGGGCAGTAAATGCTGTTCCTTTGTCTGTAATGACAACCTGCGGTGCGCCATGTCGTAGTACAATCTGAATGACGAAAAACAGGGCTACTTCGTTCGCCGTTCCTTTCGCGAGAGGTAATGTCTCAGCATATCGAGTCACGTAGTCTGTTGCTACAACAATCCAGCGCTTTTCCGATGAAGAGAGAGGAAATGGACCAAGCAAATCCATTCTCACTTGCTGAAATGGCCCTTTTGGTGGCTCTATTGGTTGCAATGAGACCCGCTGGTTTCGAGGAGGTATTTTGCGTCTCTGGCAATCCTAGCATGACTTAACATAATGGTGCACCGAATCCCTTAATTTCAGCCAATAATACTTCCGGCGAATTCTGGCCAAAGTGCGAGTACTGCCCATATGGCCAGCCGATGGGTCATGACACGCTTCTAAGATAAGATTTCTGCTCGCAATGATGATGGTGCAAGAAGCAGAATCGTCTCACCGCTGTTTACGAAGTTGCACTTGTATAGTACGACGTTGCGGAGGGCATAGGGTGTCAAACGACGGACGAAAACTCGTGGTACCTTATTTGGTGACCATTCCAAGTATTGGATAAGCGGGTGTAGTTCCGGGTCCATTCGCTGAAGACGAGCCATCTCCGACACATTCAGAACTCCAAGAAATGGGATGTCTTGTTCTTGGTCAGATGATGGAGACTCAACAGGTGCGCGAGACAAGCAATCCGCGTCATTGTGCTTGTGACTGGACTTGTACACCACAGTGATGTCATGTTCCTGCAGACGCAGGCTCCATCTAGCAAGTCTTCCTGAAGGGTCCTTGATGTTTGCCAGCCAACACAATGAATGATGATCACTGATTGCTCGAAACGGTCTGCCGTAGAGGTATAGGCGAAACTTGCTGATGCCCATATAACTGCGAGACACTCTTTCTCTGTCGCTGAGTAATTGGACTCAGCATTTGATAGAGTACGCCTCGCGTTAGCAATGACCTTTTCTTCTTCATTCTGCCACTGAACGAGGATGGCACCAAGACCAACGTTACTCGCGTCGGTATGTCTGTCTGTATCGGCCTCTTCGTCAAAACGGACAAGTATTGGAGGAGACTGCAAACGGCGTCGCAACTCTGAGAAAGCCACTTCTTGTTCTTCCCGCCAATAGAATGGTACACTTTTCTTTCGTTAGCCGTGTCAGAGGCTCAGCGACCTTAGCAAAGTTTTCAACAAAGCGTCTGTAGTAGGCACATCGTCCAGGAATCGTCTGACGGCCTTTTTGTCTTGCGGTTTCAGAACTTTTTCAACTGCTGCAATCTTTTCCGGGTCTGGGTGGACGCCTTTCACACTATGTGCCCAAGGAACCGAAGCTGACGAAATCCAAAGTGACACTTTTCTGGTTTGATGGTCAGTGCTGCCACGCGAATGGCATCCTAGTACCATTCTCAGTCGGTGGATGTGCTGCTCGAAGGTAGAAGAAAAAACCACTACATCGTCGAGGTAGACAAGACACGATAGCCACTTGAGTCCGGAGAACACAGTGTCCCTCTTCTTCTGGAATCTAGCGGGAGCAGAGCACAAACCGAAAGGGAGCACTTTGAAATCGTATAGTCTGTCTGGGGTCACAAACGCCGTCTTCTCGCGATCTCGTTCGTCCACCTCGATCTGCCAATATCCACTTTTTAAGTCCAATGATGAAAAGAAGTGAGCAGTTGCGTAACTAATCCAAGGCATCATCGATTCGTGCAAGTGGGTAAACATCACGCTTTGTGACTTGGTTCAGCTTTCTGTAGTCAACGCGAAACCGCAGAGTTTTGTCCTTCTTTTTGACTAGCACTACCGGTGATGCGCACGGACTGTTGGATGGCTGGATTACATCATCGTTGAGCATTTCCTGCACTTGGTTCTTGATGGCTTCTCTTTCTTTTGGCGCTACTCGGTATGGGCGCTGATGCACAGGTCTCACGTGTTCTTCGACCATGATACGGTGCTTTGCGGCGGGAGTACGTCCGACTTTCGACGAGGTGGAGAAGCACTTCACGAACTCTCTGATGAGGTCAGCAATCTGTTGCTTCTGAGATGACGAGAGCTCTCTGTCAATGTCTACTGACTGGAGTACGCTATCTGCTCTCTGAAGCTTTATCAAGAGTGCAAACATTTGAGACTTGCACATACTCATGCAGCGATGCTACGGATGTTTCCTTCGCAACATCCTGCAGCTCATTTCGAATGTTAGTTAATAGGACATACGAACATCCATCACGAAGGCTCACCAGGCCTCTTGCCACGCATAGTGCTTTTTCTAGTAGCAGTCCGATGTTTTTGTCCACTAATCCGTCACAGTCACGGAGAACTTCACTGCTCACAAGAACGGTCACACTGGAACGTGGCGGCATGGTTACATCTTTGTCCACAATGCGGAGAGGTAGAACGATTAGTTTCTCCAGCATAACAGAAGGCGACTGGCATTCTCCGTAGAAAAGGAAACCTGGGACTCTTGCAAGTCGATGACTGCATTGTTTGTTTGCCAAAAGTCGATGCCTATAATCAGCTCCCGGAGCACTCAGGAAGCACAATAAGGCTGCTGACATACAGAAATCCTCTTATTCCTATCCTTGCGGTGCATAACCCTACAGGACTAACTAACTGCCCTCCAGCAGAACGTATCTGAAGTCCGGTACAATCAGTCATCACCTTCTTAAGCTTCTTTACGAGAGAATTACTGACAACGGATTAGTCTGCACCAGTGTCTATTAGCGCAATGGGCTCGACGTTATCCATCGTGACTAATATCTCGGAGGTAACGTCGCTACTACTGCACTTGTCCGTCGTTGCGTAACTGCCACCGTCCTGTCGGGCTAACAATGGAGGGCCTTCAGTTGTAAGTATATCAGCGGCCTCACCTCCAGAGGTGGCTAGCTCTAGTTTTCCCGCCGCGGGCTAGGTGAACGTGATCTTCGGAGATTTGATGATGGACGAGGACTCGGCGATCGATAGCGCATCGGTGCTGTCGAACGCGACTACCGTTGTATCGTGTCTTGAGGTGAATAGCGTGAAGACAAGTATTCTTCAATTTCGTAGGGCCGTTCACCGTTCCGTGGTCATCGTGCATTGACTGGAAAACCACGCAGTCCCGCTCGACGATACTGGCACTCCCGGTAAAGGTGACCTGCTTCTCCGCAGTGGTAGCAAAGGGGCCGCCGGTCTGCAGTGCGCCATACATCGCTCTTACGCGGCCTTGCTTCTGGCATTGGTAGCGGTGTACTCGGAGAAAACGTCGGAGGCATCACAGCAGTCGCAGCCGTCCGATTCATGCGTCCGAGGTCCTGTCAGTACAGCTTGCGCGTACCACAACTGAGGCGGAGGCTCCGGTTGTGCGTG